ACACCTATGACGGACAATGACGATGTTGTTCAAAGTTCTCACTTGAAAGAAGCGATTTATTTTGCTTATCTTGAAGGACTCATATATCTATCAAATCAAAGATTTGGCAGTTAGAACCCTAATAGGGCAGGACTCAATAGCATTATTACAATAACACCATACATATTTTTTGAGGAAATTGATAATGCTCTAAACGGAATGATTCTGCTAGCTACTATTCCATAAATGGTACATGTTTGGCCTGCGTTTGTAAAAAAATCATGTGAGCACAGCATACTCAGTTCAACTAAAATACTACTGTTCGAACATGAATCTCCTATCAGAGTACTAGAATGGTTGAGCTTGGGTTTTTTCAGCGCACTACCAGAGTTGGTCGGAACCATTGTGAATAGGGAAAGTTCTACTAGTTTGCGAATAAATATGTTTCGAAATTGCATTCATCAGTTAATGAAGAATCTGCTGGTTTCTACATTGAAATATCGCTCTATACCTTAAGTGATCAAATTTGATGGATGAAGCGTTGATATACATCTAGCTCGATGCTTAAAAACTACCAGATATTTGGTAAATGATCTCTAAATATATAATGCTCTCTCGATATTTGATGGCTGAAGCAATGATGTACATCTCGCTTGATACTTAGATATTTCTCTCCGCAACTTCTTCCTCAATGAGATAGCAAACCCATGACAATAAGTAATAAAGCGCTCAATGTCGAGTTAACCGTGAGGGATTACTTCATCAACCCATTGTCAGAGGTGATTGCATACAAATTTAATCCATACAAAGATTCAGGGTGGCCCACCGATATTTGAAGTCAGCCCTGCTATCCTCCCAAACAAGTCCTGTGCTAGCTTGTCAACCCCGCCAAGGCAGAAGTCATAGTTAGTGGACATGAATCGTACCGCTACATGTGCATGGCAGCGCACCTTCAACCATTGCGCTACTTTCGCTCCAAACCAATCAAAACACCATTAGTGGTGATAATTCACAAGGTGAGTTGGCAACAGTTGTGTATTCTTTGACTGAACCCATACCGAAAACGTATAAATTAGGAAATCATGCATAGTAATAATGGACGAAAAAATACATATGATGTTGTGATGAATCATAAATCGCTTGAGAAATACCACAATCAGCGGCAACTCATCAGAAATCTTCTCTGGGGAATGTCAGGCTTACACGTTAATTTATAATTCAAGATTTATTCATAGGTCATGATAGATCGAAACCGTCATTGACCCATATATCATAAATCTTCTATACCACGCTACATCCCAAGCTCTTAGGAACCTTTAATAGTCACAGAACAGTCTAAAAATTAAGACCACATTCCGGCCGATATGTAGTCAGAGTACCAGTACAATCCCAATATTATTCTATACTATACTGTACTATACGACCGCATTTGGCGCAAAGGCTAGACGTGCTCTGCATCACACACGAGGTTGAGGGTTTGACCCAACGCTCAATGCTCACCAAGGCATCTATTCCTCCGGGGTCGATATCGCTGTCAAAGTGGTCTCAGACTTGTCTGGGAGGATATTCAGCACTGACTCGATACAGCGGTAGGCCACCGCGAGTCATTGTTTAGGGCCAGATATGCATTCGATCACCTCAGACGAAAGTAAAAATTGAAGACGAATGCATGACGCATCCCTCAGAGATTGATCAACGCCGAGAGCTTTATCCTTCAAAAATATTGTATTGAGGGACGGAGTAGCGCAGTGGTTAGTGACGCGATGTATCAGGAAGCAAGGTGATAATTAAGGCGCCCGTTCAATCCCCTCCCTCCAACACTTTCTTACAAGTAAACATCGAACACCATAGGGTGCGCTTTAGCTCAGTTGCCTCCTCGACTTTTAGGCGAAGTGCTTCGACCAGCATTTTATGGCATTCACAGAGATTACGAAATCTTGAAGTAGCAGTCGAAACAACACGTGGAATCTTCGAGGACCTTTGTTGAGGATGAATGCGAAGAAAAAAAATCGGATAAAAGAAGTGCTAGGATCCAACGAATAATACACCAGAAGGATGACCACCAACAAATTCATGATGACACTACAAATACACGCGGGATTGAACCTATGACCACTCTAGTGTCGCAGGGCATCAGCAACCACTGCGCTACCCACCCCTAATGTTAGAAATGCAGAGTAAAAACCCACTATGTCGCGCCGTAGTGCAACGCGCTAACCTCCGCACTGCGGCGTGTATGCGATGCCTTAGATAAGAGCGCGTCAGTTGTCGGAAAAAAAACAAGAAAGGATGGGGGGGATACGGGGAACGACGATTTGTCACACATCCAAGCTGAATGTGTCTCTAGTCATATCACATCGTGTATGACTCAGAGGAACATCCAGTTCAGACAACTGTGACGCGTGGATGAACGTGAGAAAAAAAAAACGAGAAAAAAGAGTTTTGAAAGCCTGATCGTCGATAAGCCAGGTAGAATGGAGTAAGGATCGACTCTGCGCGTGAGAGAGATACTCATGAAATAGTTTGTAAGTTCATTTGAGACATGAAATAGAAGGAATTTGCCGTACGCACATCTAGCAACACTTGAGCGACATGAAAAAGCCAGTAGACAGTAGAACTTACAGTTCTGTGCACAAGTAGTTATGACATCCAGTCACTGCACAGAGAAAGTCCCGGTCTCGTTAATCATGCCCATCTCACAAAAAATCAATAAAATCGATTGTAACACCCGCGCCAACAAGCGAAGCAAGCCGCAATCGCTTGAACTTTGACTATACTCTATAGACTTGCAATGACAATGCTACACTAAAGCACAGCAGTGGATTTTGGGGATGGAAATCTGTCGAGAACTCGCTAAGGGAACTGTCCAAGAACACAGCAAGACGCGACGATCGCCCCGCTGCTATGACTGTGCGCCAACGGTCAAGGCCATCCGTCCGTCATCACTACGGCGATCGGTGGCTGCGGCGGCTGCACGGTTAGGTGGCCAGTTGGGGGCGTAGGCTCGCGGTCCACGGCCATCACTAGCCGTACCGTACGCGACCCCAACGGCGGACAAGTGGACGGACGAACGAAACGAACGAACGACGTCGCCGCATTTGAATTTTCGAAATTTCGCGCCGTTTTTTGAAATTGGGGCGCGCATCGCCGCCGACGGCGCCAGATGTCGCTGCTTGTCGTGTGTGCTTCGTCCGGCCTGGCACCTGTTGGGCGCCCTGCGATCGGGCAGACGGACGAACGATGGGTCGGACGGATGGATGGCGTGAGTGGTGGGAATGGGAGTGGGAGGACGGACGGACGGCGGTCAATCGGTGCTTACTTACTCTCATCACTCACTCACTCACTCATCACATGTACACCACAACCACTACTGCTCACTTAATATATTGTACGACGAGTAGACGACGACCGACATCCGAGCGAATACGGTACGTTTGGCATTGATCTCATGACCTCCTTTTTCGGCGCCAACGATATGGTTTTCGCTTTGAAAACACATCTCAGACTTTTTTTAACCTCGCCACTTCCAATCGATACCGATCAATAATCAGATCGACCTCGTGGTATTGGCTGAATCATAAAAGAGTCTGACATGATCTTTAGTTCCTCCCTGAAATCTTTTCTGAAACTCTTCTTTTGTGAAAAAACTTTCTCTCTGAAAACTCTGTCTTTCCGAAAAAAACATAAAAATTGTGTAAATATATAAAAGTTTGATATAAAATATCTTTCTATACAAATCTCTCTATCTTCTGTAGACTTATATTTTATGAAGCAATAGTAAATTATGATTTGGAGCTATTTTTTCGGATTTATTCCTTAACATATGCTACCTCTCTTCTTGTACTTCTCTAGCTACGTAAGCTACTTCCTGAAGAGTGTTTTGTGAGACACAAATTGAATAGATTTTAGAAAAAACCTCACTTTCTGGACGGACTTCTTATTTTTCGACAAATGCAAATGATATGAAGAGTTGAGCTAATCGGTCGCAATTCTTTTTTTTTTCTAATTTTGTCGCATAGGAGCCTTATTTTTATTTTTTTCCTTTCTTTGCTTGAAAACGGTGCCCATTGGCGACGCAGCCACGTTCCCAGGATAAGCTTCAGATTTGTACATTAATGGATTTCAGGAAGATTATTCATGCACATGCACAGGAGCGAGTGTGGCGCAGTGATTAGGCATGTGGTCTGCCACGCACATGGTCGATCAATCGATGGCCGATGGTTCGATTCACCCGCTCAAGGCTGACCAATCCTTGTATCCCTCCAAGGCCGGTGAGTTGGTAACAAGACTCGTTTGGGAGGATAGGCAGCACTGACTTGATACGTCGGTAGGCCACCGCGAGTCAGTAAAGGTCGGATATTCAATCACCTCTACAGTACTACGAATGGAATTCAATGCGTAGCGCATCTCTTAGGGATTGGTCAGCGCTGAAGGCTTTGTCCTTTTATGCATAGTTGCATGGGCTTACACCTACGATGAGGTTCTGTCTTACACATCAGTTCATTCAAAGGCCTGTTGCGATTAGGTGGTCAGGAGAGTGTAAGGGGACGGTCCGCGATCTCGTCTCCATCTAACAGACCCTATGTCTCTTATGTGGAGACTCGTGGGCGCAGGCCGACAAACTGAAGAAAGTGGGACACAGATCTTGGCACTGAGGCAACAAATCACCTGTCATATACCTCTGTCCATTCGTGTCATTCGAGGAATTAGCAAGGGATTAGAGGTGATATATATTCAATGCAAAAAAAAAAGAGATGACCCACCTGGCATGTGCGCGCGTCTTGTGTGCGATGAAGTAGCTGCGCATCGGAGTGGTGGCGATAGTGTTTCAAGGTCACAAACCCTCGCCACTATTCCTTCCATCACCGACCGACCGACCGACCAACCAACCAAACGTCGCGATCAATATCAGGACCGCCTACTTTTCAAAGATGTCCACGAAAGATATGCACAGGAATTTTTTGACCAGGAATTTTTTATTGGCAAGAGAGAAATTAATTATATAACTCCGATAGCCGTCAGCCTCGGTAGTATAGTGGTTAGGGCGCACCCGCCGTGAGGGTGAAACGCGAGTACAATCTCCCGCCTGAGGTTCGTAGTCCTGAAAGACACTCAACACTGCTGGATAAAAGGGTGGGTATACTCGTCTGTTCACATTACAATTTAAACCACATCTGAATTCGTATAGGGTCTGTCCATATAGTACAATAGGATTTCAATGCTTACCGTGATTGTCTGGCAATCTGGTATTGTAGTGAAATATATACCTGATTAGAAAAATCGTAAACCTCGAGGTGCTGATGCTACCTATTTTTCGGAGGGGTTTTTTTGTGTTCCATCTGCGTTTGTTTGCACGTTGATCCGAGGAATATGGTCGAAAAAAAAACGAAAGGAACAAAAGGTTTATGGGAATAAAAGCGTGGTAAAACGAGCAAGAACAAAAAAGGGCGAAGAGGAAAAAATTACTGAAAATCGGCGGCGTATATAAGGCAGCAAAACCTGTAGTCTTGTTAACAGCCGACTGACGCAAACGGTCACCGTTTTAAAATTCGTCCTTGCGTGTTGCGTGCCAAAACTGCTCATATTGTTCGCTCACACAAGGGACATGTGAACGAACATTCTTCTCTGGACACTTCTCCGGACATGCTTGATTTTTTCGAGCGCAAAGTGACCACGGAGAGCCATTTATCTGGGCTGCGATACGAGCAGCGACTATGGGTATACCATGGGTATCTCCTCGGGCCTTTTCACATTTATCATGAGGCTACTGGAGGCTATACAGAATTGTTTTCCTATGCACTTCATAATGACTTGGTCTACAGTTCATGAATACACTTGGAGCATAAATTGCATGTAGATGAATCTTTGAGAGATGCCATTCGATTCTATCAGATATTGTAGAAGTAACTAAATGCTTAGACTCTGTAGTGACCTGCGGTGGTCTATTATCAAGTCGGCATTCTTATCTATATTCTATCATGCCGATGTTGTTATCTATCTGCTCAGACAAGTATAGTATCAGTTTTTTGGTCTGAAGGGATGAGAGACATAATTCACTTATGAAGCAGGTAGAACTAACAGCTATGCATGTATCACGTAGAACTGCTAACCACTGCACAACTCGCGCTCTGTGCTACAACCTTTACTTTTTCTGACGCTTTGTACACTCAGAATACAGCCAAAATCAACGCAAGCGGTCTAGTTGTTTACATCACAACAGACAATTTTATGTATACATTTGATTTCGGTCCAACTGATATGACTGAATTCCTGCAGAAGATTCAACAGAAAAAGAATTAATTGTTGTTTTCGTTTAGAAATAATGTCAAGACAATGTTGTGTCGTAAACGAGTATTGGAGGAACAAATCCGATATGGTAACTGACCCGACACCACACAATGTGCATATCCCACTTGGTGCGTTCGATTCGTTTCCTCGCATTCATCATCCTTAAAATCGTCCAATTTTGCTGTACCGTCTGCTGGTATCTTGGTTCTTGATATATTCCTGGGATAGCCTACTCGATCAATCGTCATAAAGGTAACCATCATCTTCTAAGGACTGGAAAGAGCAGTTGATCTATGCAAGTCTGGCAGCAGTTTCTCTACACAAGAAGTAAGGAAGGTTGATTGGCCTGTTGATTCGATCTAAGGCCTTGCGCGTATCGAACGACATGACTAATACTATGCTATCAGCAACCTTTTCATTGATAAGCTATAATATCCTCATTCTGACGGAAAATAGAGCATTGACATGTTTCCAACTTCCATTCAGCTTATCAAATATTGATGGGCTACTCAGCACTGATAAGGGAATGACTTGACTACGTATTCGGTGATTTGAGTTGTGACTGTAATTTTGCAAACCCTTATCTAAAGCTCTTCATCTTTGTAAGTTGTGTTGTAGGAACTTAGGACAGTGCTAACTTTCACTACATCAATACTACCTTATTGATTTTCATGATTGACTAACCAATTCGTGTGACCCAAAGCTGGTTACGGTATGATTACGTATCACTATTTTGAGGTTTTTGAGCGGTCAACTTCATAATGATTGAAATCTCTTCATAGTTCACATAGCTTTCCCATTTTTGCAAGGGACTCAGTTTTTATGCAGTGAATAAGGAATAAAAGTAATTGATGTTTTTACACACTTGCTGTGCAACATGAAACCCGGAGTGCACTCTTAGCAAAGCAATAAGTGCCCTCCCTATTATTGATAGTCTCGTGCATTACTCTCTATCTATGCAGTAACTAATGAAATGAGTACTCTTGTCATAGAATCTGGTTCTGTTAGTATTTTGCTAGTGAACTTGAAGACAGTCATAAACATTCAATTACTTTTTTTGTAACATTTGCACCTGCAGATGATTTCCTTAGGGATGCTGTTCGCTTACTATAATGTTCAGACATTTGTTTTATAAACTCATAAAAATTTCTTGAAGAATATATCGCATGATCTTGAATTATTCTCTGACTGAAATTTCTCATTATTTGTGGACTACCATCAAGGACGGAGAGGTAAGGTTTGGCTTATCGCATAAAGTGTGCAAATAGAGCGCACTAAAAGCTCTAGCCAAAGTGAAGATTACGTTCCCCCAGTCGATTTAGGTAAAGGTTAGTTTACAGTTTTTCTTATCAGTAAGCCAGAATACGAGATTGCTAGAGTAGTGTTTATTTGAACAGCTGACGTTTCGGCGCTTTTAGCCTTTTTCCAAGCCTCGAAAGACGAGGTTGTCTACGACCCAATCAGCCAAACAACTCTATTGCTTCAACGTAATCAAAGTCTCTGAACATAACTTTCAATCATATTGAGTACCAAAGACTTTTTCTATAAACTTTTTTTTGAGCAAAGTAAAAAAACACCGTGTTCTTTTGAATATTCCGTGGTTGAGAGATGATCGCTTTTGGGTAGTATTCAGTGTTCAAAGCACGTCTGCTAAAATCGGTCGCTACTTCTCAGATGCATGTGTAACATATAGATATCGTATGAAATATGCCCGATTCGGTAAGGTGATTATTTATTATAATAGCAGGAAATTATTCAAAAAAAATTTTTCGAGAGAAGATGCAACGTGTACTTTTGAAAGTCGTAGAGCTATTAGTGATTTTATCTTTATTTTTAAGGTGATATGATCCACGAAACAGATACTTTGGTCGTAGTTGCACCTGTAGATGACTTCCATGCTACATATTCTTTATGTACTCATTAATATGTCCCGCAAGATATGGGATCATTAGAATACGTATTCAGTTTTCAAACTGGGTTAATGTACGAAGATTTTTATGCCATGCACTCTTTACACATCACATCTTCTAGGCAGTGATTTAAACTTTGCTGAAGGTTATGATTTAACTTAAGAGTGTTTAGCGTTTTCCTTATGAGCTAATCAGTAATGATAAGGAGCTATTTCCTTCTCTATCTCATTGTTTTCTGTTCTTTTTCTTTAATTTCAACTCAGAATTTTTCAAAATTTCAAAAACTTTCTTCTACTGCAAGTCAAAATCCATTGCTTTAGTCAATTAGTACCATTTGTGATGTGTTACGATTTTGCTGTTAGCATATTCACATGACCTGTGCGCCATAGGGATTTCCTAAGGATTCTGCCGGCCTCAATTACCTCTTTAATGACTGCTCAAAATACTTATGGTTAGCCAAAGGCATCGACTGCTGACCCTATTTTTAGACTCCGCCTATGTACAGTGCTATAGGCGCAGTGCTGCTATATATAAGATCTACTACTCGGACGCCATATTTTTTTTCACTATGTTTCGAGCCTTCGTTGCTTGGCTGAGAGTCATCCAACTTCTCTTCATCTGCTTAGTGTCTTCATCTCTGGGTGGGTGATATCAAGGTGGAGCCGACAAAGGACTTCACCGGGTATTCACTCATCCAAGGATCAAGATGCCTATATTCCTTACAACAGATTTCAGTGTCATATGTTGGACCGACGATTGCAAGAACTGGTGATTTGGCTCAAAGTGCATATCACAGTTTCCTTGCTGTCGACGGTCTTGACACTTTTGAGTCCTCATTCATGGGTTCGGTGCCCGGCTGGATGTCGATCTTAGTCATAATATATGTGAATATGACTAGAGACACATTCAGCGGGGCGCGAGCCCTATACCCACTCAACCAACAAGTAAGGCTGACCGTTCGTGGATTGATTCTGCGGTGGAGGTAATATGTCCTCACCGGGAGTAAATTCACGCTTGGTTCTGCCTTCCGTCATAATTCATCCTTCAGAAACGGTCTGCTATTTTTAAGCTGTTATTAATATCTTCAGGTCTGCGATAAGAAAGTGGTAAGCAAAGTAAGGGTAAGTCGAGTGTAACAGTGTTCGCTCATTATATAATGGTATTTTGTAAATATGCTAGTGCATTCTACAAATTCAGGATTGGTAATCGCGAAGCATCAAAGGGAGTTACAAGGACCGATGAATACCTAAAATGATCATTCCGTGGTTCGATGTCGGTTGATGAGAGTGATATAGAGATGAAAGAAGTATTGAGTCTCGCATAAAGTCTGTAAACAAATCTAGATGCAGTTTCGTTTGAATGAATTTGATGAATATATTGAATTTGAATGAAGGAACTAAGCAGAAAGTAGATTAACTACTGCTCGCATAAAATACATAAGATGTGTGTTGATTGCTAGCTTGAACAACATAGAGGAAAGATTATGAACTAGGTTGTTTTAGTATTTAACAATAATTACAATAAACAGAAATAAGTAATGAATATGGAAAAAGAGTCTTCAAGAGTGATATGATTCTTAAAATCATTAAGAAAAGTTATGTGAGTGCGATTTCCAAGCATTATTTGGTCGACCAGTTTTCATTCATTGGAATATTTTGCTATCTTTGAGAGGTTACAAAGAAAAAAGATTAGCCGAGCCAGAACTGAAATTTTATATAAGAAGGCGAAGATAGAATTCGTACGTCTATGTTCGGTTATATTTGGTGTCTGTGACAAAATCATAAGGTTGTAATGATTTTTTGACGTTTTTTTGAGTTCACTGTGTCTTTACGTAGTGTTTTACAATAAGTTGGTATAAATGGCACTATCGATAGCAGAGTGTATCAAAACATCGTC